CTTTTCAAATACATGGCATTCTAGGGATACATCAGCGGGGTTCCAGCTAAGTACTTCAATCGGTAGGCCCCATTCTTAAGTACAGCGTCAACTTGATATGGTCCTTCCCATTTTAGTTTTAGGGGACCTGGATCTAGTCCCGTCACTCTCTTCAAAACGAGTTCTCCCGTTCGATAGAGACGAGAATTGACTCTTGCGTTAAAGTGTCTCTCTGTCACCCGTTTGTATGCTGCGTTCTTTAGCTCGGCTTGCGTCCGTGCTTCTTCTATTAAGTCCAAAACTGTTCGCAATCCCTCGCTATTCGCTTCCTCTTCAAAATTCTTTACTCGATACGTTTCTGATCCGATTTCGACCGGGACCATTGCCTCCGCCCCATATGCTAACGAGAACGGTGTTTCTCCAGTCGCCGATCTTGGCGTGGTCCGATACGACCACAAGACGTTCGAGAGCTCCTCTGGCCAGGACCCTTTTGAGCTTTCCAGTCGTACCTTCAAACCTTATTTAATAATTTTGTTGATGGCCTCTACTTGCCCGTTTGACTGCGGATGGTAAGGGGTGGAGAAATGATGTCGAATCACCAGCTCTTCTGCTCGGTTATCATGGCCAGAGGCTCGGCCTCCGCCCATTTAGTAAAGTAGTCAACCGCTACGACCGTGTATTTGACTCCTCCCTTGACTGTTGGTAAGGGTCCGATTAAATCGACTCCCCACTTGGCGAACGGCCAGGGACTGAAAACTGAGGTAAGCGGATGAGCCGGTTGCCTCAGGTTAGGGGCGAACGTTTGACACTTGACACACCTTCTGACTAGGTTAAACGTGTCCTTTTTTAGAGTGGGCCAGTAATACCCCTGTCATAGTATTTTGTATGCCAACGCTCGTCCCCCCGAATGGTTCCCGCATACGCCCTCGTGAACTTCTCTCATGACTCGCTCGGCCTCCTCGTCGTCCACACATTTGAGCAATGGATTCGAATAGCCCCTCTTGTATAACGTTTCTGCCATGATCGTGTACCTTCCCGCTCGGATCCTTAATGACCGGGCCCCTTTGAGATCCGCGGGAAGTTCTCCCTTCTCCAAGTACGATCGGATCGGGTCCATCCATCCGGAAGTTTTGGCAGCGACCGATTCTTCAATCCTCATGATTTGCTCGACCTGAACGGCCGGCTTCTTGATGGCGTATGTAAACGTACTCGATTTCGTCAGTTCCTCTGCTGGATGCCAATCGCGCGAGCGCGTCCGCCTGGGCATTCTCCGACCGGTGGACGTGCACGAGCTGAATGTTTGCTCGCGCTATCTTCTTTCGAGCTATGTGTAAATATGGCACCAGGCGGGCTTCCTTCGTCTCGAACTCCCCTGAGATTTGCTTCACTAACAACATCGAGTCCGAGTACGCTTTTAAATTCGTGATGTTCATCGAATGGGCCAAGTCCAGGCCGGATAACAGTGCCTCGTATTCAGACTCGTTATTGGTCGCGGCAAACAGGTACGGACCAAATGGCAGTACAGCTTTCTTTGGGGGCTGACGATCACAACTCCTCCCCCAGACCCTTCGGTTGTGGCCGATCCGTCTATGTACATCTCCCAAGTCTCTGTAGTTTGGACTGGTTCGGCTCCCGTTGTGAACTCGACTACGAAGTCGGACAGCGCTTGTCCCTTTATCGCCGTCCGTGGTTTATATTGGAGATCGAACTGCCCAAGCTCTACGGCCCACTTGATCATTCGTCCCGACTTATCTGGCTTGTGGAGAATTTGTCGAATAGGATAGGCTGACAAGACTGTCACCCGGTGTTCGAGGAAATATGGCCTGAGTTTTCTTGAATCCGTCACCAGGGCGAAGATTAACTTCTCAATTTGCGGGTAACGGACCTCAGCTTCATGTAATGCCTTGCTTGTGTAATAGATCGGATGTTGGTTCAAATTCTCCTCCCGAACGAGTACGGCGCTTATCGCGATCGGGGTTACTCCGAGGTATACATGCAGCATCTCTCCCGGGGTCGGCTTTTGGAGGACGGGGGGTCGAACGAGCGACTCCTTGATGTAATCCAGCGCGTGTTGGCATTCGTCCGTCCATTCGAATTTTTTATTCTTTTTAATAGCTTCGAAAAAGGGCTTACATTTGTCCGTGGACTTTGATATAAATCGGTTTAAAGCTGCTAATCTACCCGTCAGACTTTGCGTTTCCCTTATCGACCTAGGGGGTTTTAGTTCGAGTATTGCTTTAATCTTGTCGGGGTTTGCTTCGATTCCCCTTTGACTAATAATGTACCCTAAAAACTTACCCGAACCTACTCCAAATGTACATTTTTTGGGATTTAACACCATGGAGTAATCACGCAAAATAGAAAACATTTCATTAAGATGTGTCACATGATCCTTCGCAAAAACAGATTTAACAAGCATATCATCCACGTAAACCTCCATGGTTCGTCCGATCTGATCTGCAAACATCTTATTCACGAGCCTCTGGTAGGTTGCTCCGGCGTTCTTGAGACCGAATGGCATCATGGTGTAGCAATAGAGTCCTCTGGCCGAATAGAAAGATGTGTGCTCCTCATCGTTCGGGTCCATTGGGATCTGGTGGTACCCCGAATAGGCGTCCATAAAGCTCATGAGTTCGTGTCCGGACGTCGCGTCTACCATGTAATCGATGTTGGGCAACGGATAACTGTCTTTGGGACAGGCCCGGTTGAGATCGCTGAAATCGACGCATAATCGCCATGTCCCACTGTTCTTCTTTACCAGGACCGGATTGGATACCCAAATCGGGTATTTGGCTTCGCGAACGAACCGGTTGTCAATCAGCTTTATTACTTCTCCCTCGAGCGCTCCTTGTCGCTCCGGTCCCAGCTTCCTCCTTTTCTGCACGATTGGCTTCACCGTTTGGTCGACCCGAAGGTTATGGCATGCTAAGTTTGGATCGATCCCCACCATATCTTCATGCATCCAGGCGAAGACATCTGCGTTTTCGATTAAAAAGGTAATTAACCTGGACCGGATGGGCTCGCCTATGTTGCGTCCGATGCGCAATGACTTGGTGTAGGCTGGTTCATCAAGATAGATCGTCTCCGTGTCTTCGCTTGGTTCGGCCCGTTCGGACATCCTTCCTTTGAGTTGATCTCGGGAGTCCAGTTCGTCTTTTTCATCAATTGGTTCCTTCCCTGGTCGTCGCCCCCGGTCTGCCGTTCGGTCCTCCTTATCGCACGGATCGTCCTCCTCCTGGGTTGACTTCTGGTTTTGTTCTCCATTCGGGTCGGATTGATCGGCCTCCGATTCTTTCACGGCTTTCTCACCCTGTCCGTCTCTCAGGGGTGAAGGTGTGTTTGTGTTTGATGACGCCAACATGGGGTACTCGTCTTCCTCTTCTGGGCCCTCGATCGGTTCTTCCCTCACCCTCTTTCGTTCATTCGTGTGTCCTTTGGCCGCACTGTTGTCCGGCTGTTCGGGCGAAACTTCTTGCTTGTCTGATTGTTCCGGTTCTACAACCGGTTCGACGATCAGATTCTCTTCCTCGTTCGCCATCATGACCGAGTGTATTTCTAATGATGGGATCGCCATGATGCACTCTCTTGCTTCCCTTTGGTTACCGTAGTGGACTCTCGTACCGTTCTCAGTTGGGAACTTGATCGAATAGTGGAAGATCGATACGGCTGCCTTCAGCTTGTATAGGGCCGTTCGCCCGAGGATAGCGTTGTACTCGCTGGCCGTTTTCACCACCTTGAAAGTCTCTATGATCCTTCGTCCATTCGCTCATGATCCTCCGAGCTCGATCAGTAGTGTGATTTCTCCTTCGGGAATGGTTGCCTGCCCGTTGAACCCTGTTATGCGGTCGTTGCATGGGCGCAGTTCGCTTCGATCTATCCCCATTTTAAGGAATGCGGTCCAGTATAAGATACTTGAATACGCCCCAGTGTCCACCATGATTTGGTGGACTGGGATTTTGAAAATGGGGGCTGTGATTACGAGCGCGTCTGAGTGCGGATTATCAAATGGGAGAGAGTCTTCATCCGAAAACATTATTAGGTTTGTGGGCATGGGGACGTGTCGGTTGACCTCCGCCCGGCTGACTTGGTATCCTGTGCTGTATGCTTTTTGGATGTACGCCTTGACCTGCCTTCTTGACACGCTCGAACCTTCCCGACTCGTATTGACCCTCGTGGGCAGTCCGCTTCTTCGGATTGGGATGTGAACCGAATGCTCCTCATCTCGCCTGGATGCTGCCCTTTTCCTTCCTCCTGATACGCTCGTCTCGCCTCGTTGCTCCTGACTGATCGTCAAAATTTCATTGAGATGTTCGTTCGCTCTCCTGGGATTCGCTCCAAACTCGGGCTCATCACCTGGGTTCGTTCATTCATCGTTTCTTGGCCTCCGGTTGCTTCCGTCCATCCTAGTGAACCTCCTTACCTGCGGATCAACGATTAGTTTTAACAAGGCAGATATTAAGTTCCGACACTGGTCGGTATTGTGGCCGTGCGATTTGTGGTAAGCACAATATCGGCTTTTGTCTAAATTCTCTTCATCGGCCCTGATCGGTTTGGGGTCTGGGATGATCCCCTTGTTTTTCAATTCTTCGTACACTACGGCCGCACCGGCCGAATACACTCCCTGGTAGCTGCTCGCGAGTTCCTCGTGATGTTTCCTCTGCATGGCTCGGAATTGGGCACTCCTTCCGTCCTTCGTAAACTCCTTGTTCGGTCGGGATTCCTTCGCTTTGGTGGGTTGTTCGTTCAGGGCTGGAAATGACGGAACGGACATGTTTTCTTCCGCCATGATATGTTGTTGAGCTTTCATCAAGAATTCGTGGTACGTCTGAGGTTTGTTTTGGCAAAGGATCCATTTGAACATCGAGTTTGGTCTCAGCCCTTAATATGCTGAAACGAGCAGGGTCTCCTGATGGCACGGTTCCATGTTTTGCACCCGTTCGTTGAAACGAGTGATATAATCCTTCAAATTTTCGTCTGCTCCTTGGATGATGTGAGTGATCGATTCTTTGGGAATTCGGCACGCCTGGGATCCGATAAAGTGCGTACGGAACATTGACTTTAATTGTGACCACCTAGCGACCGAATGTGGGGCGAGCGAATGGTACCATCTTTGTGCTTTTTCTCCCAGAGTCAATGAGAACATCCGACAGCGGAGAGCGTCTGGTGCTCCGTGCAGGTCCATCCATGACGTGTACAATCCTAGGTGGGTGTTCGGGTCAGATGTTCCGTCATAAAATCCAATTTGCGGGATCTTGATCTTCTCGGGCAACTGTTCCTGCAAAATATCAAATGTTAGGGGTGATTCGGGTTCGGCTGGGCTGGATTCCATTCGTGCCCTTGAGGTTGTCGTGGCTCGTTTGAGAGGGACTTCTGTCAGGTCCTGTCCGATGGAAGCCAGTCGTTTTTGGGCCGAACGTCTTCGAGTTCGACTATTCTTCTTCGAAGGCTCTTCATTTCGTCTTCTTCGGCTTGAGTCGTTCGCTTTCTGATCAATGTTTTCCTCAAGTCGTCGTCAGCCACGTTTTTTCCCAGCCGTTTGAAAACCGACCGGGTGGTGTTGCGGGTTCGAGTGTCCGTGACCGAGCGACTTTCGTCTATCTATTCATTTTCTGTCCGGGTGGTAGATTTTTCCTTCGTTCTCCCGGGCGACCGGGTGGTTTCTTCGTGAACGTTCGTTTCTTTGTGATATAGGATATTATATTGGACCCGGTTTAATAGACAAAACGGATACATATGCAAAAATAAGCCCACGTGCGGAAAAAAGACATATGGCACCGCGATATGGGCCAAGCCCAACTTGGGCCCAAAAGGTACACTTCCCTTATAAAAGGGGGGTTAAGGTATTCCTTTCTCACATTCTCACTATTCACTCTATACTACATTCTCTCCTTATTACATACTACACTTTCTCTCTCTTGATCGGAGCACTGACTTAAGCATCGGAGGCTCGATGCCGGGGCCACCCCCGATGTTGGGTTCTGCAGGTACGGAGGTCGGTTCGAGTTGAAGGAGCCCGGGTGAATCTTATTCACTTCATTGGCGCCGTCTGTGGGACCCGTCAAAAAGTCAAGCGGAGTCCCGACTGAAAAATTGGAAAACCTCCTTCTTCTCCACCGGCCGCCGCCACCGCCGGCCGCCACCTCCACCGGAAAACGTGCTCGGATCGAAAAATGGTTGACACCATCGGGTAGATCTCTTCGAGGTGAACCTACCCTTAAAATTTCGTGCAAAAAATCCTCCGGGAAGGCCATCAATTTTGCGGTCAAAGTTTCGAAATCTAGTGAAATTTTGGTCAAAATCGAGCATTCAAATGCATTTTCCCGACGATCCGTGAAGGCTATTAAAAATCAGAGGGTACCACCGGAATCCTCTCGACGAGACGAATCTCCAGCTATCGAGCTTCGCCGGAAATCACCACCTCCGCCGCCGTCCGCGGCCGGCAGCCGGTCGAAGTCCTCCGATATGAAAAATCTCTACGCCATCGCGAAGCTCACCTCATTCTTGTTCTACCCTTTAAATTTGGAGCAAAAATTTCGTCAGGAAGGCCGTCGATTTCGCGGTCAAAGTTAGTGGATCTTAAAGACATTTGGTCAAAACCCAGTTGTCTTCCCCAATTTTCTGTCGGCTTCAGGACTCTCTCTCTGAAATGACGGCACCACCAAGGCCATATCGTAAGGACGCAAGCAGGTACAGTTACGTTGGCCAGATACTTTCGCGGGAAGGGGGTCAAGTTCGTTCGGAGCCTTGTAGCCCGCCGCCCCGCTTGTCGGATTACTTTGCAGGTTTGCTTGGAGGTCCATCGCTGCTCAACTGGAGTGTACGGAATCCTTAGCTAGCTCGAGGTTCGCTGTCTGCTCGAAGCTACTTGTTCTCCCGGTGTGCTCGAAATATACGCCTTGCAGCTCGACCAAATTGCAGGCTCGACCAAATTGCAGACTCGACCATTTTCGCTGCTCAAAAATCAGCCGCTGCTCGAAAACCCGCCGTACTAGATGTGCTAAAAACCCCTCTGTACGGATCGATCAGGTCCAAGGTTCGAACTCTGTCGCCCGTCCGACCAGATTCACAGGTTTCCAGATATGCCCGAAGAGTGCTCGAAGTATGCCCGACCAGATCTACAGGTTTCTAAATATGCTCAAAGCATCCTCGACCAAATTCGCAGATCCGATAAATGCTCGAGGATTGCTCGAACATCCGTACGGTGCCAAGGTTGCTCGAAAATCTTTACAGCTCGATCAGAATTGTAGACTCGTTCGAAGTTTAAGATTCGAGGTCCATTGCCCGTCTTCCCAGATTTGCAGATTTACTCGTAATTTCATCGTCGCTCAACCGAACCAGATTGATAGTTTTTTCTTCGCCGGAATATTCTCAAGGATTGCTGAGTTTCGTCGTCACTCGACCAGGTCCAAGGTCCAAGACTTGCAGATATTCTTCTCGACCACCTAATCAAGTTGCAGATTCGAAGTCCCCGCTCGACCAGATTACAGATATGCTCGGAGCTTCTCGATCACTTGATGTACTCGAAAATCCACTTACAGATATGTTGAAGAAAACCCACCTTCTCTTTGCAGCCCGCTGCTCTCACAATGTCTGGCCCGCGAAAGCCTGCCTCGTATTTCCCAGCCCGCATAAGCACTGCTCAAGCCCGCGTCCTCCTCCACATGGCCCGCACTCGGCCCAATGTTTTTGCTGACCTCTCCCTGGCCCAATTTCGTGGCCCAGCGTGCTATTATGGCCCAAACCGTGATTAATTTTGGGGCAACAGCCACTAAATTGGCGCAGAAGGCCATCAAGTCGATCTAACAGGTCCGTTTCGTGACCAATACTAATTTGGGATGACTAAAAGCGAAAGAGAAGTTAAATTCCGGGAATATTATCGAGATGAAGGTATGACGCTCATTTAAATTATGGACTTGAGATTTTTAAATTAGCGGAAAATAAATAAACTATTTGATTTAAATTGGAAAATTTTTAAGCTTGGAGATTTCCAAATTGGATAAAATGGAGGATTATGTGATTTATCTGTGAAGTTTATTGGATATATTCGCGGAGATTTTTGATTTGTTCGTGAAAATACATGATCGACTTGTGGAGATATTTAAATTATTCGTGATTATATGGTTTATTCGAGGAGAATATTGGATTTTTGCATGAAGGATTATTTAATTTGCTCGTGTGGATGTATTTGGTTTATTTGCGAAAATATTTGATTCATTCGAGGAGAATTATTTGTTTTGCTCGAGCTACCACTTGATTTGTTCATGGAATTATGGGTTTTATTCGTGGCGATGTTCGATTTATTCGAATGAAATTATTTGATTTATTTGCGGAGGATTATTTGATTGGATTGTGAAATTATTTGACTTGCTTGAAGACTTGGATTATATTTATATAATTGAATATCTTGATACACTTGGACCATTTATTTGGATTCTCGTGTGGAAATGTGGAATTGTGTCGAATTGATTATTCATAATATTTAGACATGTCATCGCTCGAGCATGTCTTAAGTCGAGGAGATGGTGATATTTATATTTGGTCTCTTGTTTTTGTTGCGTGGAGCATTGCAAAACGGATAACTTGACTATAATGTAGATAATGATATTTCTCTGAATTCTTGTCGAGGAAACAACGAAATAACTCGAGTTTGGACGAGCTATGGTGGACGAGCATAGATCCATAAAAGGTGGGTGATAACGAAGGAAGAGCATGGATGATGTCAATCACCGGTAGCAATCTCAAAAGGCACAATTCATTCTCTTTTGGAGAGGTAAAACAAGTTGGAGTGGTATTCTCGACCTTCAGGTACAAAACTATTCTCAACTCTTGTTCGGTGGTCATGTTTGACCGACACGTGGTTTATGGACACATGGAGTCTTTTAGCACTATTCTTTGGAGATGTTCATTGTTTGAGTATTTTGGGCAAAATTTTAAGGAGATTGTGATGCATATGGACATGGTTGGAATTATTATTTGGATAACTAACAACATGATCGGGTGTTATTATATCTTGTTGTGTTCGATGTTTTTCTTTTCGACCTCAGCGGCAGGTCAAAGAATTCGAGCACAGGCTATCATGTGCAACCAGGAAATGAAGGTCGAATACATTCAATGTTTTCTATTATTATCTCGTTCGACGTAACTATACATTTGCGGACGCTAACGGAAATGATCGATTACTATCCTATCTTGCTATATTTGGTGCTTCTCCCTTTGACCTCAGTGGCAGGTCGTCCGAGTGAAGAAAAAAAGCCCTTCGTTTTTGAACACCCCGCTCAAGGGGTGGGCGAAGGTCGCTTGCTTTCGGTACATTCCTTGGGGTGGGCAGGTGGTCACAAAAGTCTACGCCTCAAGGCTGGACGACCACCATGTTTTCGGAACATCCCTTGGGGTGGGCAAGTGTCAAGAAAAAAGTCCCTCGTTTTCGGAACACCCCTGATCCTGCGATAGGGGTGGGCGAGGGTCGCTCGTTTTCGGAACACTTCGCTCAAGGGGTGGGCGAGTGACAAGACCAAAGTCCTTCATTTATGGAACACCCCGATCAAGGGGTGGGCGAAGGTCACTTGTTTTCGGTACACTCTAAGGGGTGGGCATGTGGTCGACAACGTCCACGCCTCCGAGCTGGACGACCACAATGTTTTCGGAACATCCCTTAGGGTGGGCAAGTGACAAGACCAAAGTCCCTCGTTTATGGAACACCCCTGATCCTACGGTAGGGGTGGGCGAGGGTCGCTCGTTTTTGGAACACCTTGCTCAAGGGGTGGGCGAGTGACAAGACCAAAGTCCCTCGTTTATGGAACACTCCTGATCCTGCGGTAGGGGTGGGCGAGGGTCGCTCGTTTTTGGAACACCCCGCTGAAGGGGTGGGCGAGTGACAAGACCAAAGTCCCTCGTTTTCGGAACACCCTTGATCCTGCGATAGGGGTGGGCGAGGGTCGCTCGTTTTCGGAACACCCCGCTCAAGGGGTGGGCGAGTGACAAGACCAAAGTCCCTCGTACGGGTAACTCGAGCAGGTTAATGGATTCATTCGATTTGATTTTGTGGTATCGTGTTTCTAACCGCAATGATAGGTCGATCAAACTCGCTACGGATAGCTCGAGCAGGTTGATTGTATTTCACTTGATTCAAGGTTGTTTATGGCTTCTGATTTGTCGAATTTGCTTATTTCGACCTCTTTGGCGGGTCGAGTATATTCATTTTGCTCGAGCAGGTCGTTTATGGATTCTGGTGTGGTTGCTCGTTGATTCTGGTTTGTCGAATTTGCTTATTTCGACCTCTTTGGCGGGTTGAGCATATTCATTATGCTCGAGCAGGTCGTTTATGGATTCTGGTGTGGTTGCTCGTTGATTCTGGTTTGTCGAATTTGCTTATTTCGACCTCTTTGGCGGGTCGAGTATATTCATTTTCCTCGAGCAGGTTGTTTATGGATTCTGGTTTGTCGAATTTGTTTATTTCGATCTCTTTGGCGGGTCGAGTATATTCATTTTGCTCGAGCAGGTCGTTTATGGATTCTGGTTTGGTTGTTTGCTGATTCTGGTTTGTCGAATTTGCTTATTTCGACCTCCTTGGCGGGTCGAGTATATTTATTTTGCTCGAGCAGGTCGTTTATGGATTCTAGTGTGGTTGCTCGTTGATTCTGGTTTGTCGAATTTGCTTATTTCGACCTCTTTGGCGGGTCGAGTATATTCATTTTCCTCGAGCAGGTTGTTTATGGATTCTGGTTTGTCAAATTTGTTTATTTCGACCTCTTTGGCGGGTCGAGTATATTCATTTTGCTCGAGCATGTCGTTTATGGATTCTGGTTTGGTTGTTTGCTGATTCTGGTTTGTCGAATTTGCTTATTTCGACCTTCTTGGCGGGTCGAGTATATTCATTTTGCTCGAGCAGGTTGTTTATGGATTCTGGTGTGGTTGCTCGTTGATTCTGGTTTGTCGAATTTGCTTATTTCGACCTCTTTGGCGGGTCGAGTATATTCATTTTCCTCGAGCAGGTTGTTTATGGATTCTGGTTTGTTGAATTTGTTTATTTCGACCTCTTTGGCGGGTCGAGTTATTCATTTTGCTCGAGCAGGTTGTTTATGGATTCTGGTTTGTCGAATTTGTTTATTTCGACCTCTTTGGCGGGTCGAGTATATTCATTTTGTTCGAGCAGGTTGATGGTTTTTGCTTGGTTTGGTCTTGTCGAATCTATTTTTCGACCTTGGTGGTAGGTCGAGGAGTTCATTCAGAGCAATCCACGAAATCAGGTTGTTTGCGTTTTGAGAGGATATACAACAGGCTTGAATTTTAAATTTTGAACTGAGGGGCGATAGGACGAGGGGGTATAAGAGAGCTCGAACATGGTGATCGAAACACAACATACGTAAATTCAAATTTTCAAATTCAAGATTACAGGGAGTGGTCATTCAGTTTATGTTTTTCGACCACATCGGCGATTATCAGTGGTCTTTCGGTTTTTGGTTCTCGTTTTCAGTGGCATCGCGGTTCTTGCTTTTCGACCACATCCGCGGTCTCGACTCTCGGTTTTCGACCTCCGCGGTCTCGACTCTCGGTTTTCGACCTCCGCGGTCTCGACTCTTGGTTTTCGACCTCCGCGGTCTCGACTCTCGGTTTTCGACCTCCGCGGTCTCTCGACTCTCGGCTTTCGACCTCCGCAGTCTCGACTCTCGGTTTTTGACCTCAACGGTCTCTCGACTCTCGGTTTTCGACCTCAGTGGTCTCGACTCTCGGTTTTTTATCTCAACGGTCTCTCGACTCTCAGTTTTCGACCTTCGTGGTCTCTCGACTCTCGGTTTTCGACCTCCGCAGTCTCGACTCTCGGTTTTCGACCTCCGCGGTCTCGACTCTCGGTTTTCGACCTCCACGGTCTCGACTCTCAGTTTTCGACCTCCGCGGTCTCTCGACTCTCGACTTTTGACCTCCGCGGTCTCGACTCTCGGTTTTCGACCTCCGCGGTCTCGACTCTCGGTTTTTGACCTCAACGGTCTCTCGACTCTCGGTTTTCGACCTCAGTGGTCTCGACTCTCGATTTTTGATCTCAACGGTCTCTCGACTCTCAGTTTTCTACCTCAGCGGTCTCTCGACTCTCGGTTTTCGACCTCAACGGTCTCTCGACTTTGATGTTCAACCTCAACAGCAGATCATTCGGTTTCCGACCTCCGTGGTCTTTCCGTCTTCGATCTTGAAATCTCAAAGCTCATTTGGGGGACATTTCAGTGGTTAAATGATCATTCGACTTTCGATGCTCGATCTTAGGGGCAAGTTGAAGAAAACGGCTCGAAGAGTCATTTCACTCTTGGATCGAGTTATGCTTACTCGACCAGAGTGGGGGAACTAGATGATATAGGATATTATACTGGACCCGGTTTAATGGACAAAACGGATACATATGGAAAAATAAGCCCACGTGCGGAAAAAAGACATATAGCACCGCGATATGGGCCAAGCCCAACTTGGGCCCAAAAGGTACACTTCCCTTTATAAAAGGGGGGTTAAGGTATTCCTTTCTCACATTCTCACTATTCACTCTATACTACATTCTCTCCTTATTACATACTACACTTTCTCTCTCTTGATCGGAGCACTGACTTAAGCATCGGAGGCCCGACGCCGGGGCCACCCCCGGTGTTGGGTTCTGCAGATACGGAGGCCGGTTCGAGTTGAAGGAGCCCGGGTGAATCTTATTCACTTCACCTTGCCTTTGAGGGTGTTGGTAAGGTCTTTTTTGGCTGGGGTTTTGGGTGCTTGAGACGTAGAGGGCCGGATTTGTGTTATCAGGTTTGATATTCCCTTAACAAAATTTGGGTCTTTGAAAAAGGCTGAATAGTCCGTCCTCGTAGTTGGGTTGTTTCGCCGGTCTTCCCTTTCTTCCGGTGAGTCTCGTCGGTGACTTTGGCTTGATGATGATTAAGTTGTCTTTGACATGCTGGAATAGCCCTTCCTCTAGCACCAATTGTTGATGTCTAAAAATGACCAACAATGTGTTCGAACTGCACACTAAGATGTATGCTCTGTTCGGTCTGCACGAATAGTATTTATATATGGGATTCGGTTTAACTTATCGGTCCGAATGCTTAGGCTATCCGTGACTTATAGAGTAACTAATGAGAGCATTTACTCATTGCATTAAATGATGTCCTCCCCTCCCTTTTATAGGAAGTTTAGGGACTTTACATTTCCCTCTTGGGGGTTTTTACATTTCCTTTTACAGGATATTTTTAGATATTAGTCATTCAGCATTTAATGCTAATTGTACTTGACAATCTATTCCCAATATCTGAGATCCGTCCCGATCGTGCCACGCATCCCCATTTTTCCCTTGCCGTCGGATAAGAGATTTTTATGTATCCCCGCATTTAATGCGTTCAGTACGACTAGCTTTGGGTAATGATTAATCAGATCTCGCTTATTCTCTCCCATCCGTTCGGCAGCGGCCCGATCCCGGAGGCATCCGGTTCCTCTTTTCCCTTACCACCATTCGTTCGGTCTGTACCACCAACAAACATTATTATATTTTTTTTAATAAGTGGCTTTCTTCTATTGTCAATCAATTTCACAATAAACCATATTTATCTATATACCTTAACTTAACTCACTTTCAAACATTTTATCTAAGATTGAGCTTGAACATTATTATATTTTTTTTAATAAGTGACTTTCTTCTATTGTCAATCAATTTCACAATAAACCATATTTATCTATATATCTTAACTTAACTCACTTTCAAACATTTTATCTAAGATTGAGCTTGAACATTATTATATTTTTTGTAATAAGTGGCTTTCTTCTATTGTCAATCAATTTCACAATAAACCATATTTATCTGTGTACCTTAACTTAACTCACTTTCAAACATTTTATCTAAGATTGAGCTTGAACATTATTATATTTTTTTAATAAGTGGCTTTCTTCTATTGTCAATCTGTTGTGACACAAATTGTTATTTTTTACCGAGTACCAAATCGAAAGATTCGTTCCCCGGGTCGATCTCACGAGGAAGGCGGTTCGTAATTCAGTTTTGGTATCAATCACACATAAAAAGAAAATAAATCCTAAACATTCTAATCAGATAAAGATTGGGTGGATTATCAACTAAGAAATAAAATAAAATCCATAAGATATAAATTTACCTAAAACATGAAATAAACCTCAATGAAGAAGCTAGGGAATCGGGGATATCCGTTATGGCTCAAAATACGATTATCGAGCAAATGATAATTCGGTTAAGAGAATTTGATAAACTACTCGTTCAGAGATTGTCCTCAATAACTCTTCGTAACAAGAGGATTAATATGAACGACAAATCAATAAGTCCTTTTAAACACATTGGCAATACCATTACGAACAAGCCAATTTCATGTGGCCTAGGTCTATCGACTCCTCCTCTTTCGATTCCAAAAGTCGATTAAATAGCTTAATGGTTTTTAATCAATCAAGCAATAGATTCCATGAAATCATTCAAGAGCAAATCCAACCCAATCGATGAACAATTGTAAATTGAAGTGTCACTACTTCAATGATTTTCAAAATTCCAAAACAATTTCACAAAACCCTAGTCAAGATCAACCCACATGAATTGAATAATCAACAAGCACAATAATTATAATTGAGATCAAAACATTAATCCCCTATCCCTAGCATGAAGATTTAGCTACTCATATTCAATATTAAACAATCAACCATACAAACCCAAGCTTCCATAATCAAAGATCAATTGAAAGAGAAACTTACAATTTAGATGAAATTGAAGGTTTAATCCAAGCACAAGATAAAAATCTCCAAGTGATGATGAAATCCAACATTAATATAGTGTTCTTAGGGTAAGAGAAGGGGAAAAAAACGAGTTTGTGGGATTCATTTCGGTCTGGGAACGAGTCACAATGCCAAGTACTCGAAAAAACGAACAAAACCTAGCTTTTAAAAATCTGGTCGCGACCTCCGCGGCCGCGGGAAGCTCCGCGGCCGCGACTTTCAGCTGCAGTAGTGCTCCCGCGGCCGCGGGATTCCTCCGCTGCCCGCGGTGAACAAATTTTGGCTGCTGCGTGCGGCTTTACGATTTTTGTTCGTTCGGGTTCGTTTTAACTCGGAATTGAGTTCCCTTTTTTTCTACGCGTCGCTAATGAACCCCTCTATCTAACTATGTAAACCCATCAAATATTTTATTGAAAACCTGTCCTCTCAGAGCTTCTTACCTGCACACCAAAAACGAAAACAAAACCAAAAAACAGCGGAAAGCAAACGGAACACACCTACACTCAAAATAACGCAAAACACACAATAAACGACAAAACAAGCTAAAAACCAACTAAATGACTCAAATCGGGGAAAAAGAGTGATAAAATGGCAAAGAAAAATACAACAAAAATGGGACAAACAACTCTCCCACACTTAAACCTTTGTTCGTCCCGAACAAAAAGAAAAGAAAACAAGACACGAGCATTGATATGGTTTCAAATAAGAAGAGTCTCAAAATACCTAATTCAATTGAGTCGAATTCCAACAAACGTATTACCATATGCCTCAAATATCAACTTGACCTTGAAATGACAAACTCTCAAAACATAGATCATCTCATATGCCTCACTCATTTTCTTATATGAATAAATGATAGGTGCGCTCAAAATTGGTCAATATTCAAGTTTCAACATATGCTTGCCAATCGTTTAAATTACTCAAAGACAATCAAAGCTCAAAATATGCGAATCAAGAGGACTTCACGGGTTGTAATGCGGGTTTAAGGAAGGATATATATGCCAGAAAAGAAGCTCAAATAAATAACAAAATTCTCGAGCAAATAAATTACTCGAGTTCTCCGCTACCAATCTAGATTAAACAATATAACACAGTCACCATCCACCAAACAACTCCACAACCAACACCCAACTACTCTAATCGAATTGCAACATCACTTGACCCAATTTCTTTTTCCTCTTCTTTTTTTTTATTATTTTTATTTGGAGAGTGACTTTTTCCGAACAAGAACGAATCGAAAGGACAACATTCTATAGGTTTAAACATTGGAGGTCATCCAAGTGTCCTACAGTAGTTTCCCGATACTCATTACCCGTCAATGTGAATCGACTAGTAAGAGGAGCAGAATCCATTCGAATCGCCTTGTGAGCTCTCATTTTTTCATTTTTTTTAACTGGTCAAGCAAATAACAATGCAACTCAATATCCACCATATTCAGAAATACCACCAATTCCCCAGTCATCACACAAATCAGTCAACAGGTTGACAAGAAAAGGTTTTAAGCTCAAACGGGCTACTAGTGGAGAAGTAAATTTTAGGACAAGGAACAAGGCAGAAGTGAGCTAATCAAACAAAACGCCTCAATCATATTCGCAATTTCAAACTCTAATTGATTCCTTTAAAAAAAAAACTCAAGGCAAGTTCTAATCATGCAAGAATACGACCAATATCTCACAAGAAGAGAAAGGACCAAAACCTCACAAGGCAAATAGATGTCATTCAAAGTAATCAAGCAAATACCGAGGCAATGACCACACGTTCGCTATCACGACTTTCCAATTTCATCAAACATTCCTCAACCATTCATATAATTCACCAATACCATGCTCAACAAAACAAAAACCTAAAGCTAGACCGGTCCACCATATAAACATGCAAAATCCAACTACACTCCCCCACACTTAAAATGAGGAAATGACCTCATTGTTTCAACTCAAAACAGGAAGTCAAATACTAGGACCAAACAATTTCATATAGCAAACCAATATCAGCAACTACCACAAGCACACAAAACTTCACGAAGCAACTCAAAAAGAGAAAAATAAAGAAAAGGGTGTGCAAACCGAAACGCCTCGAGGAGAATAAGCATCTACGTGTAAGCAGCTCGCCTATGCTTAGCCTCACAAACTCATACCTTCCAATAAGAAAATCACGAAACTCCAAACTCCCATTATTCCAAGATAAAACTAAAAATCGAAAAGAAAAATGTCTAAGAAAGCAGTAAATCACTTGGGTTGTGTTTGTCCCATTTTTGTT